TCTGCGACAGAATTTCTCTCGAACGATTGTCTTGCCTCTTTTCAGCACTAGCTATTAGTGACAACAAACCTTGTACTCTGGGTCTCTGTACCACAGATTTGTCATCATCACGCACAAATTTTTCACAAATAACACACTTCATTCTCTCAGTGAACTTGTAAGAATAATATTTCTATTTTTTACACCCGCAGCATAGATACTGTACTGAATGCCGCAAATTTTGAACTAATTCAGCTTCAGCCTCGTCTTACGTGTCTCCTTTGGCGCGTGTCGATGTGTATATGAAGCGCGCGAGGAAGCGCGCTATTAAAAAAAATCACTGTTGCCAAACTATCCATATTGGGGAAAAACTAATCAATTCAAAAATGTCTACCATATGTGTGCTTCATTTGGTTCGCTATATGTATATAAAAATTTCCGCAAATAAAAAAGTTTTTCGATTAGTGCAAATAATGATACATATATATTGAATTCCATGATTTCATGATTTTTATAAAATGAAAGAAAAAAATTTTGTAGAGTCCATCGGTACTGTTGGAAGCGCTATTGTATTTACTTCTATTGACAAATAATCACCCCGATAGCTTCATTAATTCTGCAGATATGACGGTGGAAAGAAAAAATAACAGATTTTATCTGAAATCATTTTTTTTCAGTTTTTTTCTGTTAAGAAAGTTCTAGACCACTAAAAAATGTCGTAAAATACGATTTTGTATTCCTTATGACATGCTTAATAAAACCTGCCATGTCTGATCTGGTTCTACGCCAAAAAAAAAACAAAACGATAGGGTCTCGAAATTACTCCACTATTAGCCTCTAACAAAATAATCTTCCACTAATTTCATTTGGCTTTTCTGAGTCAAATGAACTTCTCTGGAATAATCATGGAATATAAAACACTTCACAATCTTTTCGTAAATGAAATTTACGAAAAATGAATTTGCTAACTTGAATTTGAAAACATAAATTTCTCCAAAAACGAACCAAGAAAAAATATTATGTCGCTGAAACAATTATCCTCAATAATAAAAAAAGAAATATCAAACTGATTCATTCGCAATTATTAGTGCCAACAATCGACTTGAGAAGATGAATGCAACACTTTTTAATTTCAAACTTAGCTTTCAGTAAATTTGTTTTTTTTTTAGATTAGCTCTTGATCTTCCGCTATTTACGATTGAATTTTTTTTTAATATTCAATTTCTGGAATTCTTTTTTCAATCAACTCTTTCGATCATTTCGATACACATGTTTTATTTCATTCGTGTCTGTACTCCTCCAGGTTATATTCAGCTCTATCTTACCTGGGATTTTGAAACCCATTTGAAAATAAGTAAAAGACAGTTTCTTTCAATCGTTTATTCAAATATCAGAATGATAAAAAACTATAACAACTTATGAAAAACAATACAGAAAAATCACAATGAAACAACAAAATATGCAACTACATCGAGTTCAAAATTAAAAGTACATATCTGTGCGGATTCAACATCAATTTGGCTTTCGTAGAATTATATATTTGAAATTTCGTAACATGTAGAGCTAAAGATTTTTTCAATACAATTCACCGAGTCAAAAAACTCAAGCATTTGATGCCTTAAATTGTCATTTTTTTTTTAATATAATTTATGAATATACGATATACTGATTTCCACATCGAAAAAGATGATAAACCCTGCTAAACATCATTTTTAAAGCTTTCTATATCATACCTAAGAATGTATATACAATATATAAAGAACTATTAATTTTTCAAAATGGAAGAATTTCATGTAAGTGACGAAGATTCGAGTGTTTGGTGAGAACTGCAAAATAGTGACACATAAAATTATTACACAATATTGCTCCCCTTAATATATTAAAGTAGATTTGAGCAACTTCATGAAAAAAGCTAACACCTAAAGTACTGAAAAAATAAAATACCACAAGTTATTTGTGGGATAAATTCCTAGGGTAGTATAAGAAAAATGTTCGTTCAAGATGTTTGTAATACCGCTAGCTCTCAAAATTATTTTGGCAGTCATTTCGAATTCATCTTATTTATATTTTCTCATATTCACAATATACATGTAATCTTTTGAAATATTCAGTATCATATACGTCATCCAAAAATATATATGAAATTATAATAAATAAATCTGTTTGAAGGTCACACTAACACAGTTATAAATATAAAAGGTAGAACTGACACATCTAACGTAGAACAAATTCAATACTTCTATGAAGAGAGTGTTTCATTTCTGGTGGGAGATGTAGAAAGTGTTTTCATTGGACTTTATATAGAATTCACACACAACAGTTTACAAATCGCATTATGTGGTTTTCACAATTAAGTAGTTTCATCGGACGTATGAAATATAATATTCGGTACACTATTTCAACATTAGACACTGTAAACTGTTATGAGAGAAATCTCAAGAGAATGTATTATTGAAAACGTTTTTAGAGTGAATACCAATTCCATCAAAAATATCATAAACTATTTTATCGTCGACTAGTACAACGATGGTACGGTAACGAATATCAAAATAATTAATCCGACACTTTGTGGAATCTGTGCCGCGAAATGACACATTTGTGTCTTAAAATAAGCAAACGAAACTTCCTCTGTAACTATTTAAGATTGAAGCCATAATTTTGAGATGCTAAAAATAAGTGGCTCTTCATTGCTTCTATATTTCTGTCAAAGCGAAATTGAAGTAGCCTCGGTTGAAATTTCATAAAAAAAATTATGTCGACGATAAACTAGCAAATAAAATTTGTAACGAAGCTTGATTTTAGCATTCATGAAATTAGTACAGACACGATAATCTTCTGCATTACAAATGAACTTCATAATATACTATTATATAAATACTACTACTTAATACTTTATTGAACCCTTTGTTAGAATTTTTTAAAGTTTATGAAATAGTAAAAAACTAATAAATCATTATCCTTGAGATGTTCCCCAGAAGAAATTGAATAATCTACGAATAATCAAACTTGATAGGTAGAATTGTAACTTCAGGCTTAAAATGAATTTATTGAAAACCACCTATCCTCATCAGAACAGAAAATACTGTCTCTCAACGCACGTTTTCCTAATGAAGTTAGCATAATCACAATATGAATGAAATTCATCCTACACCTGAATTAAAGTTTTATAAAAATCTGATCAATAATAAGGGTTAGGTTATGTTAGGGTATATCAGGTTATATATCAATGACTACCTGATTATGATAACGAATATTTACTTGGTTTCTACATGTAATTATTCTATGAAAAAATAAAACGAATTGTTTAGGATGGGACTTCAGTCACTGTTCATAGATATAATTCCATATTTTTCGATTTCTATATTCTCGAAAGCATCTAAAAACTATTTGTCATGTACCAGTTCGAACAATATTAAACATATTTTATTTATTATGTGGCCCTTCTTTAAGGTCAGTTGAAACGAACATGACAAACGACTTTCAGATGCCTTTAAAAGTTTAGAAATCGAAAAATGTGAAATAAGAAAAAAATAGGCCGATGTTTACTGTTTTACCCAATAATTATAGGTTAAAAGCAGGTAAATATAAAAAAATTATTTTATCATCATCAAAAAGTCATTAATAAATAAATAGGTAGGAAATTACAATAATATAAATAACTTACACTGATAATTCATCTTTTTAACTCCGTTTGAAGAGCATCATTACCAAAGGAAATTAATTGGTCAAACTTCTGTAAATTCTCTGAGTCAGTTTAAGGATTTCAGGCATCTACTAGTGATACTGACTTGGTAAGCGAAAAGCGCATCAAGAGACAGGCATTTGTTCAGGTGAGGGAAAAGTGTTTTCAATAGATTCAAACATCCACTATGTTTCAAAGTACCTACGTCGCGTTTATATTGGATTTTTATAATAATCATTTCGGTAAGTTCAGTGAGTGATAACTTCGATCAATTCAAAGAAACTTTTTCATTGAATTGGTCGAAGTTATTGTTACTGTTTATCCATATATATCGCCGTTTGAATTGAATTTTTCATGAGTATATCAACGTTATATCGAGAGATCAAATACTAACCCCCTTGGCCATTTTTATAATTTTCCACTATTTATCTCTGCCATCAAAATGATATAGTCATTCGAAAAAGTAGTAGTTTTTATGATCTGATAACATAATTTTGATGATTATCTACCTTAATGCATAAAACCAATAAATTAGACCTATTCAACCGACTGAAATGGATAGTAGGCAAGTGCTGCTATTCAACATAAATCCTAAAATTTGCATTTTGAAAGTAAGATTGTTGAATTTATATTATCGTTTCCTTTTTCTGTGCATGGTCACCACATGTATGCCTTGTACACTAAGCTCAATCGATATAAATGCGTTCAATCCCAATTATATTTGAAGCAGATGCTCGTTCTACATTACACACTCATTTGTTTGGCAACATTTCGGATTTGAAAACATTTCAATCGATTTCACTTGGGGCACTTGGAACATGATGACTTTTAATTATTTTCCACAATGACACTTTGAAACAATTGAAGGCTAGATAGAATTATTAGAGTTTTAGAGCGATTACATATAGTAAACCTGTTTAACAGATTAAAATGAACATTAATCGGTGCAAAAACTTTTACATATTATGAAACTAGAGTGCATAATATTTCAATAGTCTCAGATGAGTTTCCAATTTCATGTCACGTTGAAATATTAGAAGTATTTACCTTTGTTTACATGAAGCGCTGATTCAACCAATATCTGGAAAAGCAAAGGTGGTGCGATATGATTACCAAGCCAAAGCTTCTATCGACACAAAAAGGAACATTTTTTGATGATATCCTACGCAATTGTAGTTATTACTGATGATACTAACTTGGTTAGCGAAACACGCGTCGTTGAGAGACAGTATTTTTGTTCTGGTATGGAAAAAGTGTATTCGATAGGTATCCCAGAGGGATATCTGTGGAGGTCATGGAGTCTTCATATTTCATCTCTTTCTCTTCCCCCTCTTTCCTTTTTTCTTGATACATGCTTTAGATATCTTTATGAAATTATTCAGATTGGATTCAATCACTACTATAAAGGCGAACTTCAAAAAACTCCTCGGAAATATTTTCATTGAATGATCCCAGAAAAACGGTATATGAAACTAGTACTGAAGGTTCGTTGGTTTTCTCAACTTTCTATTCACTTATATTTTTTACATTATCGGAAATTGTCGACACACACACAAAAAGAAGTAGACATCTGTTTTAATGAAATAGTGTGACAGCCGATCCGGCTGAAGTGCATTCGTTTCAACCTCAGAGTGTGACTCCAACATGAAGTAGCACCTACTTGGTTCAGCCTCATATTAGTACCAGAGTATCTGTCATTTACACTTACCAACTAGAACATATTATACGCCATAGAAATACATTTGGAATGCAAACGGGGAATATAATTTTTAAACTCCAATTAGATGAGTCAGAATTACTCAGAAAGGAATTCTCATATCTAGGCTGAGTGGTGAATCCCCAATGAGTAAAATTCAATCCCGATTCATGTGATAAAAAATTTCCAATTCAAAAAATCGAATATAATTGTGGGAGTAACTTTACAAAAATAATAAAATCAATGACCAAGGGCCTAAATGAATAAAACAGTTCATAACCAGAAATTCATAACATGCTCTGAAACCTGTCTCAATTTGTTAATAAATTAGCCAATAATCCAACAAAGCCCCATAACCTTACTACTGACTCGAGTAATCAAGGGCTTTATAACAATGGAATACCAGAACCGTCAACTCGAGCTACAGTAAGAAAAGGGTATGTATCAATTTGGCGATGAATTTGTCGGGATAAAATTACTTCGAAAAGTACTGAAGAATTGTACCTACACACATCCAGTACATTTTGCTAGGTAAGTGGAATTTTTCGTATGGCGAATTATTTTTATGTAGTTCAAATTGTTAGTATGCGGGTGTGACACACCCAAGTTTTCGATTGAACAGAAAGAATTTGTGTAATTGATGACTTGTTTATTTTGTGGAAATTCAAGATCACATCAATTAAGTGAATGAAACCCCTTTTGTCTAATTTCCATTAGTTCTTTTATTTTTACGACCAGTTTCGGGTTGTATTCCATTATCAAGTATGAAACGTAACTAGTTAATTTCTAGAACAGAAAGAGTCTCAATTTGGGCAGAAAGTCGAAGTGAAAAATCTAACTTTAAAACTTCAAATTTATGGAAAATACAATATTTCGGTATAACTCGCGATTCGTTAACTTATGTATATGACTTCAGTCTGACGTCACGTAGCAAGAATTCGACGCACCAACAAATATCGCAGTGATACACTGCCTCCACATCGAACAACGTTACAAACTGTTCAGATTAAGCATTGAAAAATCTAAAACCGATCAGTTTTAATGGCAGAGACAACGCGGAAATACAAAAAAATTATTCTTATAGCTACCCTTGCAGATCAACACTCAGTTCCGTCGGGGTCCGCGGCACCGCCGTCTCAACTACTGGTTCGGCGGCGATCGATAGCGTCAAGGGTTTCATTTTGAGAGGGTGGCCGTTGAGTTTGACGTCGGCGGTACGCGTCGTGTCCTTGAAATCCCGACTGTTGGACGATACCGCCCCGGGACTGACCGCCGGCCTGTGGTCACCGCGGTTGCCGCCCTTGCCCTTGCTCGTCACTTGGTCTCTGAGGGCCATTTGGTAGGCGAGTTCGAAAGCTTGACCGAGAGTCAGAATGATGTCTATCGCTTGCTCCTGGAAGGTGTGAGATGCAACCTTTCAATTATCATTATTATTTTCAGTTCATGGAGAGAGATGCAAACATAAAGTACGGTAAAATATTAGACCAGCGCAAGCCTGTTAGAATGGCTTAAAATAGAAAAAATGAATTGAAGTCGATTCAAAGTACGATGAATGAAATGGGTGAATTACAGTGATGAAAAATGGTTTTTGAAAATTTCCGCTAAACCAAGACCTATTATTCAAAGCGAATGTTGCTAGTAATGTGAATATGTAGGTACAATTTTTGTATAGATTATTTTTTCACACAAGAAAAAGTTTTTCGAGAAAAATCAAAATACCGTGTTTTATTTATTTTTAATTCTTGTTTTCTGGTGTACTCAGTCAATTTTTTTCATGTATATATGTATTGATACGAAAAATGTGGGAATCTCCCAAAGAAAGGAAGAAAGTAACCAATTTGAAAAAGTTAACTCTATACAAAGATGTAACTTTCAGAAACAAACTGGAAAAAAAAGCCCTCTCGAAACAGGTTATTTCATATAAACATCGAATTACAGGAAAGAAAAATAATTTCAAAACATTTTTTCATATGAACACTGAATTGTACAAAACCAACTTTTCTCTATACAAGTTGGTATTCGAAATATTCGTTATGAAATAGAATCAGATATCATTCACAGGATTCCTTCACAATATAATGAATGTATCTCATTAGCCATGTGCTGAAAACAGTTTTTTTTTCAGTTAATAGCAATGTATTTTTTATTTTCTATTATGGAATGTCAGATAATGTGAAAGGAAAATAACATTGCAATAAAAAATTGTCGAAAAATACAAATCGATGAATAAAAAACATTTAAATTTTCCTTATATTTTCTGACAAATTTTCCTTCCTTTCAGAGTCAACATAAGAATGAGATGTAAAACAAAATATTGTGAAACAAAAAGATGTGTTTTTACTAACTTTATGAAGAAATAAATAATTTTCGGGGGACAAATTTCAAAAGAATGATTTTAGATTGTATGAAAAACCAGTTTCTGCAAAATATGTATACCTACAACTTCTAGATTCAAGGTAATTCCATTAAGTGTAAAAGTGAATATTTTGATGAAAATTAATAAAACGAATCCTGAACAAATCGAAAAATGTCAAAAGTGTTCCACTTATTTAATTATAAGTCATCCCCTAGCATCGTGGTAAATAATAAAAGCAGTACCTACCAAGTTCCGCCATTCAATTTACTCAATAGTGTGTATAACAGTGAAATACTTGGTACTTTTCGAATATGAAACTCTTGAAGGTACTTACGGAAGAAACTCCTTGAAAAACATGGCAGTAAAATGCTTCGCAGTCCTTGGTAATATAAGCAAAAAATGACTGCTTATCATTATCCTGGCAGACACAGTTCATATTCTTAATCTCGTGTTCGCAGATTATTTTCTGAGAATTAGAAATACAAATGCGGATCAATGTAACTTTATTTGAATATTCAATTATATTTAATTAAGAAATAATATTACTGTAGTACCTAATGAATATTACTACAGTGGCATCACAAAAAAATAAAAAATGAAGAATTACCTGCTCTGTAGGATTTATGAACTTGACTCCTCTATAAGAAATAGACAAACATATTTCCTCACTGGGATGGTCCTTCGCTTTTATGACTTTCTGAATTGATTTCTTAGTTGACTCCGTCCCCTTGAATTCTTTAATCAGTGTCGATCCCAAATACTAAAACAAAATAATTCAGAAGACTGATTCCAGTAAAGGTTTCGTGAAGTTACATTCGCCGAATACTTCACATAGCCCGTTATCAGGAGTATGGGTTGGTGACGCCATTGAGATTTTATAGAATTAGCGCCTCCCACGTAGATTTCCGATGGAGATTTTTTTTCGGGTTCAGGGTTTTTCTTCACAGGCGGTTGGGGTGCTGGTCTTGACTTTTTATGTCTATGTCTGATGGTCCCTGTGTTGCTGTTGACTGAGTTAGCTGACGGCGATGGCAGTTCTGGCACAGGTTGGTTGGTTTTCTGGACAGTGTGCATTACAACATTGGTAAGAATTCGACAATTAACCTGAGTACCGACATGATACCAAATGTAGCGGATGAAACAAGTGACTTCAAAAAAGTAACTTGTTAATTAAGGTAAGATTGTTCAAAAAGGAGCTCGGGAAGTGATTAACATGTTACATGACAAAAAACACTTTGAACTGAGTCATTCTCAAAATAATGAATGGGTGTACTGGAAGTGAAATGTTTTTTCTCTGATGTTTGATATTTTCTTTCCATTGAATGTTACAGATAGATATCGAGTGATTCCACGTTCATTTCAGAATAATAGAGTTTTTTCAAGGCCCTCCGTTTTATGAGTAACCCAGCCGAATACCATTTACAAGATCTATGACAAATCGTGAAAAGAATTCGATGACTGGATTCTGAAGCCATCTAGAGAGCAGTGGGTAAATGAATACAGTATACTATTTTTTTCGAAACCCAACTTTCATGAGACAAAGTAGATGGTGTGAAAATATGGGGTTATGTAAATTTTAATTGTCGATTATATTCTTTTTCAAGTAATTTGTAATCATATCACAGAGATTCAAAGTTGGGTGGCATGTTTATCTTATTAAGAGAGTGTTACTGATATTGAAAAAACAAAATAAATGATCTCATGTTCATTTTATGAGCTGATTCTAATGAAATATTAATAAACAATTGAAACTTTCCTGAATTTCCCGATAATGTTAGCAATGTGGAGAATTTTTTATAGTTTCAGTTTTACGTAATGAATAACATATTTTAGTTCGAAGATATGTCAATATCACAATGAATATTTTGATTATTCGATTAAGAAAGTCTGTTGCATTCACTTGATAAACGCCAATGAAAAATATTTAATTTAACGAATCAACTTACCAGAAAGCTGATATCCCTTATTTCTTCAAGTTTTGGTCCTGCAACGATATGTTCTCCGCTACTGACGCTCGCCAAAATCCGTTTCCTATGGCCAATTTTCTCGATATCCAATACTGCCGACAATTCCACATCCCATATCCTTTTCACCCTCTCCATGTCGTGATACAAATGTTTCACAAAGGTTTCATAATACTGTTCCAGGTTTATTTTCTTTAGCCAGAGTTTGACTATGTTTTGTTCGTTATTATTGTTACAAAGGCTCGGTGGGTTGTCATTTATTTTTACCGGGAGATGCTTTATGGAATCTAGTAGTATTTGTCTTTCCAGCTCGCTGGAAATTCCCATTTCTTTCAGGTCGTTCTCTTCTATTACACCGTTCTGGAAATAACCAATATTTCCAGAATATTCCAGTAAACAATCTTGCAAGGTAGAGCTGTTCTTTGATGGATATCAAACAAAATTTAAGGTGTTTGAGAGTAATTTGCAATATTTTTTGTTGAATGTTGAAAGTTTGGAATAATACCTACTGTCTACGATTGAATATTCGAATCTGCTAATATTATAAATGCGAATGTAAGTTTGTTTATCACGGTTACACGCAAAAACTACTCATCCGATCATCATGAAATTTTCTACACATGCTCTTGGAGGTATTAGAAGTAACGTAGGATACAAATAATTTTTATGTAAGATAAAAAAAATGAAAATTGTTATTTTTTGTTACAGTAAAATATATTTTAACATTTGTTGCTGCAATTCAATGAAGCATATTTGAAATTTTCGAAACTTCATCGTATGTAATAATTTTTAAAAATTGATAATCCCAGCCAAGCATTAAAATATAGTTCTCATATTGATTCGTTTCTATTGTACTGAGACTCATTTAATGGCACATATGCGAGCGAAGCTAGTATTTCATATTTGCGATAATATTCGAAAAATATATGCCATATAGTTCGAATGAACAGAAAAGTACGTTTCTAATCAAGTGATATTTTTTAAATTTCATGAACAATGAAGAATTAATATTACTGGAGTTTTAGCCCAACACCAAACCGTTATTTTAACACATCGACACGTGTTTCGATCACCAAGTGATCATTTTCAAGAAGATGTTTGAATTTAATCTTCCTCTTGAAGATGATCACTTAGTAATCAAAACACGTGTCGAGGTGTTGAAATAATGATTTGGTGTTGGGATAAAACTTCAGTAAAAACTCAGTAGAGATTGTGCTTTCGTTACTCTGTATTTACATTTTGAACTTTCTGTTGAACCAGTATTATCTCCTATTGATAACCTTAGTTTTGAACCACGTAGTATTATTTTGAAGGATCAAAAAATGCTTTGCTTTCAATGCGTTCTCTTTGCTGTTGTTTGAGAGCCGTCTGATATGTTCATTTCTTCCAAGTCTCTGGAAAACACTGTAAATGGACTTATGGCGTTTTTTCAATTTTTCATGACATGTATTCTAACAATTCTCCTCCCTATATTATCTGTACAGGTCCCTCGATGTTTGTCATATTTATCTGGACATAGTTTGGATTGTCATCAGTTGCTTATTGCATAAGCTGTCATGTCTTTTGCATTGTCTACAGCAAAAGTTTTAGTTGAACAACTTTATTTTGTTCAGTTCGGTTAGCCTCTCGATGGACAGTGTCCAGTGAGTAGCCCTGTAATTATTTCGACCCGATCCTCAGTTCTCTTTTTGGACGGCTCGTTTTTGAATATATTTTGTGTTCCTGGGTACATTTTTCCAGTATTTTTTTATTTATATCCTCCAGTCAGCTGTATGTATATACAGGGTGATTCAAAGATACGTGTGGACGATAGCTAGTTTCATATAAGAGCTACAGATTTTTTTTAAGAAAGAGTTGTTTATATTATTGAAATCTACAATCTGAATATACAGGGCAGACCCAATCTATCGTTTCCAAATGGAATACCGTATATATTTTCACACGATTGAATTATTTGGATATAACGCTTTTTTAAAATATGGGGATGTATGGGTACATACATTGGATCCAAAAAAAAGTGTCTACACCCAGTATTTCAATATCGATTTTTCGGAATAACTCCTTTTTCTCATTCGAAGATGGTGAATTTTCCTCTGTTATGTAATAATTCATTGAATGACGTTTTATTTTCTATATAGGGTCAACCAAAACTGGGAATCACTTTTTCTAAATTGTTTTCAGTGGTACTCTCTGTGGATAATATTACATCCAGAAAGTCCAAAGTGTAGGGTTTGGCTACTTTCTTTCCACCAGAAGTGTATCTAATTTCAAAAATTGAATAGTTCAGTATGTTAGTATCAACTTTTGGGAAAGAAAATTTTTGGCTTTTTACTACTCCATCTGTACAAAAAAAAATAGGGGTTTTTTTTAGAAAGCCAAAAAAATTTTCTTTCCCAAAAATTAATCACTCCTAAAAATATAACCCCTTCAATTCAGTTAGTATTAACATACTGAAAACAAAAGAAAACTTGTTGCATTAATCGAGCGAGCGATCGATCTTTATCAAGAGGTTATTGAAGTTTCAAATGATTTTTGTGAACACGTGGTAATGACGTCATTTCAGGCATTTAAGGGTTTCACTACTTCATATCTTTCGTGAAGATATCCGTTTCTCTGAAAAACATTATAATAAGGGAATAAAAGTAAAAACAGGTAAGAAAAGAAGACAATTTGAAAAGGCGATTGTAACAGAAGGTATTTGAATAATCTTCCATTTTCAACTATACTATAATTTCAAAATAGTAGGCACTAAATTCTCAAAAACGACTGACATTTTTGACTTAATTTGTCTCTTTCAGTGGCGTACGGAAATTATACTAAGCAATTAAGGAAATATGAGGATACATTATAAAGAATCAATACCTTGGCAGCAATGCTTTCGATTTAATACAATAATATTTGGAATTCTTTACCTACCATTACGGAACTATGTATACATCTACAGTTTTTATTTAAACCTCAATCAATATCGACTTTATGATAGATAACGATATGCCTCTGTTATTCTCTTTTTCATGTCTTCGACGAATAGACTACTCCCTTAACATATCCCCAGAAAAAAAATCCACGGGCTTAGTATCTAGAAAACCTTCCTGGCCAATGAATGAGTTCACTTTTTCATATTCTTTTATTCCATCTCTGTAAGAAATTTGTCACTTGATTGTGTTGAGGAACACCGTCATGTTGGAAATATAACCTTTGATATCGATTGGTTTTTCTTCCAATAAATTCCGTAAATCCTTCGTGGCAAATTTCTATACATTTGTTCATTCAGTAACTTGTCAAAAAAATGTGGTCCAGTGACTTGATTTCTAAATACTTATTAACCATTTATTTCGAAAATTGTTTTTTCAATCCAATGAGGATTCTCCATCAAATGCCATTCCTTGCGAAACAAATTCAACATATTTTCGCAGCAGTTAACTCTAGTTTCATAATCCATTCGATGTAACTCAATTTGCTATGAATGAGTTTTCATTTATATTTTGTAGTGTCCGGTTCATTAACGTATGATTTACGTCCAGAATCAGCTCTTTTGCAATATCTCTGATACTAATGTGAGGATTCATAACAGCTAATTTATATTACTTATTCAATTCACAACTTGCTTCTTCAAATATTTCTCCAATCCTCCGAAAACTCTCTGGTCGTATTGACGTTGAATCTGGATGTATAGCCGCATGTATTCATTGAACATTTTCTGGTGTTATTCGGAATGATCGATTTTGAGATGTGTTGAAAGAACCCATTTTTGAAAATTAATGACATCATAACTTCTGAACTACTCGGTATGAGCCCACATAACTCCATATTTTTGAGAGGCGACCCATCGAAATAATACAACCGCGTAAAAATTTCTAGGGTATTATATTTGAAAAAAACATAAGTCTGGTCTGCCTCATATCTATTAGTGGCGTAGTATATTATTAATTATTTTCAGACCATATAGTTTTCATTTATCTCTACAACTTTTTTCCGAAACATTTTTTGTATCTCCAATAGAAAGTCAGCTTTCATACTATTGTGCTTTCTTGATCGCCAATACGAACCTTCTACAGATTTTTTGATTTTAACTATATCGGACCACCAAAATGTAGAAACAGATCATAAAAAACAAGAAATGAAACAAAAAAACGACTAATCAAATGAGGAAGGAGCATATATACACTCATTCTTGAAATTTTAAATAATAGCTGAAAATTCGGGTAAAAGGAGGTTGACTTGAAAAAACAACACTCTTTTTGATATATCATTCAGTATGTCATCGAAATGACATGCTTTAGATCGAAACTGCATAAAAATACTAAATGTGGTATACTCTTGGATTGTGAGTTTATCGCTTTATCAATATCTGTAATAAAAAAGACAGGTCCGTATTTAAAAAAAAGTTGGTGGCTATGTTGACACAAAATGTTTTATCGAATATTCATTATCACATCGTCATAGTACATTTAGAATACAATAATATTTTCTTTTTCCATTTTTTGATATTCTCCGAAATAACAATTCCATTCAAAAAAACGAAAAATTGCATTTTTGGTTTTCCCCGTATAACTCGAAAAGGGCAAGAGTCCCGGTAAAATTTTTTCGACTATAGTATTGTTCCCGATGACAGTTAAGTTTTTTCCAATCTAATCTTTAGTTAGTTTGGCTCGACTTCACAAACAGAATATAAAAAGTTTATACGACTTAGCTAATTATAAAAGCTAGAACTGTGACCTCTGGCGTAGGAAAAATCGAAAGCACTTCTCGAAAACCAGAACTGCAACACTCTTCTTAAAACGCGTTTCACCAACCGACTTGTCCTAAAATTAAAAACAGAGGGTGCATCTTTCGTTACAACCAACTGATCTTCAGCCTTTCCCGTTTCAGTAAAAGGTCACGTTTATTTATTGTATCATTCTGGGAATACAGACCTATTATTATTATTGAGTTCAAGAGATCAAGTAGACTAATTCAATAACTGATTGGATTTCAATGTAGTATTGTAGTATTACATGTGAGTGGAAGTCTCTAACAGGTTTTTCATTGTTAGTAGAAAGGCTTCTAATTTAATCTAATTTATACTAGGTTGAAAAGCACAAACCTACACTTTTGGTTGACGAGAAAAATGTTAATCAATAACTTATATCAGTATCCCCCGTCTTGGAAAACAATAAATATACCATTCAGTTTTCTCTCGCTGAATCGTTTTCTTTTCAAACTTCCTCGACAAATGTCAAAGGATATTTGAAATATCAAATGTGTTCTAGATAGAATTATTTTCAGTATTTGGTAGAATAGATATTGCCATACGCAAAAAATTGTAATAATTATCAATGTATGATATTCACTCTAAATTGTATTGACAACGTTTCAGTGACAATGTCCTATATCCTTTAGTATTAGACTGGACTTGGAGTGGTTAATAACCCTACTCTCGTTTTTGGAAGTACTTCAAATTATTCAGTTCAGTTACTCGTCAACTTGATGTGAGGATGACGGCCTCTGGCAAAAAACTACAGTAGTTTGTGCGAAGTTGGCGAAGGAAGCACCTAAGCAGAGTCGTTGAATGGCTTTTAGAAGCGGAAAAAGGAACTCATTGCCTAAATAGTTAATTATTTACCAAAATCCATAGTGGATTATATGAAAACTCTCATCATTAATTGAACGAACAAATTGGTAGAACAATGTTTACATATACTCAGAATGTTTAACCTTACGTTCAGTTACGACATTCAAACACTTCAATGGTTAAATATTTTTTTTCTTTTCTTTTTGTATTTTCTAGTCTTATATCTTTTTATGGAAACTTTTGATGGTAGATATTGAATTTATAACAATTCAAGATAATGACAAAATGATTAAGGCTTTCGAGGCCGAGGTTTTCAGTGTCACCATTTTCCGTGTTTGAAGGCCGTGAATTCAAGATCTTGCCGCAAACTCTTCTATTTTGAAACTTCTCTTATACATTTCGTTTTTGAAACCTTCAAAGTGTTGAATAGAACTGGCCAATACTTGGTGAAAATCCATATTAAAACTAATTAATACAGTTTATTGAGTGATTTTCACTATAAAGGGTTATATAAAAACCGCGATACGAGTTTCGCTATCCAATAGCTTTCTCAAGCGTTAATAATGAGTTACTTCTAAATTACAACTATTTTATACTCTAACATATTACCTACTTGTTTGCCTACTTTCTAATGTAAAATTTGTATAGACTTGCCTGAATATGATAATTTCCCATCAATGGACATTTAGGTTTATTTTGAGAAATGCAATATTCTTCTTAACACGCGTTTCACCAATCAAGTTGGCGTCTTCAGGAGATGAACTTTTCAGTTTTATGGAGAGAGTTAATTTTTCAATGCTTATAAATACACTCCTGAAGAAACTGTTCAATTCGTTATGTTTGTACTATTACATTCTTCTTTGTCAGTTTATTTGGTTTTGAAAGTGAAAACATCAATTACTGTTATTATTAATGTTTCAATTATTCAGGATATCAAATTTCCTTCTCATGACAGTGATGATTTTTTCTTGGACTAAAAATAATCATTGGAGAGGTTGCTATACTTTCAAATCTTTTCAGAATACAAAACGAAGATTTCACTCTTTATCTTCAGGTTTCTTTCATTTATTTTCAATAGGACATTTCTTTTGTCTTCAAATTCATACCTAACGTATATTTGTTTAAGTTATTTTTTAATTTCAATCAGTTCATGAACTACTACTGCAAATCTATGATAATTTCATTTGTACCTATACTTTTGTCAAGTGCACTGAACTACTGTAATAATTATGAGTTTGAAAAATAATCTTCACTATCACTAATAAAATAATGCCTATGTAATTAAAGTATGTTGTTATAAATACTGATAAATTTCTGTTATTCCTTTCATGGACTTCTATAAAGGCAAATAAGTTTTTTACTAGCTGTCAGAACTGCCATATCTAATTTTAATTACTTTTTTCACTGACCGTTTCTGTTTCACTTCCTGGAAATCATTCAACATAGAACAAGTGAATTACCAAAATACAACACTATCATTACCGATACAATCTTCATCAGAGCCATTCTTTGATATTATATTGAATAAGCAAGTTCCTAAATTGAACTAACGATTATTAACTGCAGAACCTGAGCATTATTCATTTCGACAATAATTTATATAATATTTACTAAAGAATGTATTCATTTTTTTAATCTTATCCGCTGTCAAGTTGGCAAGTTGACTTATATAAAAAGATATATTAACTGTCATAACGATGCAGTTCATAAACGACATTGTCTTTAAAATATGACAAAGTGCATCCAAAACAAAAAACGACCATTACTGTCACATTTAATGAAAAAAGCAAGCAAGAATGACTACACTTTACTGTGATAACATAATCATGGACTATTTACTGCCTTCAATTTTATGTCTCTATATTTCTAGATTAATTCAATGGTAACAGTGGTGACAGGGATTTCATTTCAAACTTCCATTCTCATGTTTGCGAATTAGCTTTATTTGTCGATGTACAAGTATACTTTGTCCAACTACCTATTTTCGTTAATCGCCCTAAACAATTCGCAACTTACCAGAAAGTTCAGATCATCGAATCCATTAGTCATGAACAGTCCGACGTAGTCCCCCATCCCCAAACCCTGCAGCCACTTCTCCACCGTGGAGACGGAATCTGCGGATTTAGTCAAACTGTTTTGCGAACAACTTATCGTCATTAGCCTACTTTGGAACTCCTTTTCCAACTCGGCTACGAAAACGGATTCGCGCACTATGCCAGTTCCAAAGGACGCCATTATCTCTTGGATTTTGGCCCATTCCTCCTGTTCGTCGAAAGGGCTAAGAGCTGATACGCGTTCCCTGTTTTCCTTGTTATCGAATTCCTTCTCGGAGCTGGAAGATTTCTCGTTATCGCTTTTAATTCCTTCGCAGTTGCCGCTATCGTAGACGCGTTTCAGTTTTTTCAGCGTTTTGGGACGTTGAGCGGGGGTGTTGGGGTTGATATTCTCGAGAACTTTAGTCGTTGAACCTTTAATGAGGCCTGAAAATATTGGAAAGGAACACATGAAACATGAGTAGTGAGACGCGAAAGAAGTTCTATTTTCTCATTGTGCCTGATGATTCACACTTGATGAAAGTGTCTCATATTTACAATTTTTATGTTGTTGAAATTATCGATCACAAAATGTGCAGAATAAATATACTGAGTTGAGTTGATTAAACAAACATGACCTAGCCTTTCACTCATTTCATCTACATTCATGACTAGGGCATAGTTCACTTGCCACAAATAAAAAGGACTGTGATGAATACTATCAAATGATGGACAATTACTCGAAATCAATTCTCGCTAATAACTCTAGGTCCTTTCCTGCTTTCTATCAGTTGAATTGGTAAATACATTTCCCCTTTCGAAGACGCCATCTCTGGTAGCAACAGTGAACTCAGTCCTCGAATATTGAAGATAAACGAGGCTCCTCAAGGAGGTCAGTTGCAGAGCCAAGATTTGACATCAACTGCCGACGGGATTTGTTATCTGTCTGTGGCGGGTATTGTGGATGTCTGGTAGTGAATCATAAATGTGTGGTGTGTAGATTATAGTTTTCAACAGCTTTCACCGCTAGGCAACTAATTGAAAACTAGAATGTACACACAACACATTTATGATTCAATACCAGACAGCACTGTTTCGACCCGCCACAGACCTCGTCAGTGGTGCTAGGCTATACCACGAATGCGTTTTTGGACTCAACTGTCCTCAACAGAATAGCCTGAGTAAATGAAAAACCCGAAACAACATAATATGTGAAAAAATTGATATACAATTTTACTTATATCAAAAGTTCCTGGTGTACTTCAAAGTTTCGACAAGAAACATTTGTATTATCTCCTCATCAGCAAAATTTTGGATAACTTGGACGTGAAAAGTGAGCCTAACATTTTTGTTCAGGAAACCGGTGGAAGTTGTTAGGGATATATCTGAAAGAGCTAGTGTTCTTCCTATATTCATCAAATTCTAAACTGTTGTCGCGTCGGTTCATATAACAAGAGCATCTAGTAACGGTAGCCCATCGTCGTTTTCAATCTCATACGTGAATTTAATTTTTGAGGATCTGTCGTTTGGAATAGAAATAATGGTAAATGTGTCGTTCACATACAGGATTTGAGTCTCTTCTCTTGCTTCTATTTCAAATTTGCTCGTGATCAGAAGAAAGACAATGAGTTTTCCAATGTTGTACCCTTGTGCTGTTTGTAAAAAAGTGGTTGAATTGAAAGCCATTATGTTTCTTGTATGTTAGATGTGTATGAACTGGCTGTACTCTTCAACAAATGATGCCTTAAATATTCGATGGTTTCTATTACCAATACAATATACTTGGGAACAACGAATATACATCAGACAATACTGAAATCACCCAATTTTGAAAACTTATAATTTTTATTTTCCTGATATTTTTGAATTAGCTGAGACAAATGGTCGTATCTTCTCGCTTTGTTGCGTATTTTTGGGATTGAAAGGGAAAATTCTGGAAATTATGAAATAAGTTTGTGAGGAATGCGACGAGTGGATTATAAAAACCACTTCAAAAGTTACGTTCTACATTTGATTTCCAAGACTAGATGAGTTTAGTGACTAGTTTTTGTGTGCCGGAAAAGAATTTTATTCAAATATAATGGTTACTCACTTTCGAATCTCCTTTAAATCGGTTTCACATATTTCAAGTGAAATATAATACAAATATCATGCTGAATATTATCGAAATCGATATCCTACTCACTAATAAAAACTGTCTGGAACTGTTTCCTATTGGGAAAATAACATATCCCTCATATGAGAATGAAACAAATTGTCACAAATATCCACTTATTTAATGATTACAAATAGTGACATAACACTGAGTATATCAATGACAAACAAATAAAATGTTCTCATTTATTTTTACTTATATCTACTAAACTATTTCTTGGGGGTAAATACTCAGTAATCAGGTTTCCTTTTTATTTGTAGCAAATACTTTGCTTTGGATGTGGCAAGGTGAGAGATAATAGCAGCAATCCAAGTAGTGCATCTGACCACTTGAAGTGTTTTTTTCAAGCGTTCAAAAAAGTCTGTATGTTTGTATTTCAATATTATTTCAACATCTTTGAACTCCTGAAGAATCCAGCCACTCGCGTTTGCCAGTACCAAATAATTCAGAGAAACAGTAATGCATTAAACTATGACTTCAAAAACTTTAGCTGATATACAAATCTTTCTTCCTTCAAAAATATTTACGGTCATCTAAATATTCCGATGGGAATTTTGTAAAATTAAATTTTACTTGTATGAAAATTTTATGTATTCAACTTATGTTTGAATTAAGATAATCTGAGCGCATTCCATTTGTTGTATTTTTCTAACACTCAACACTGGTTACTTCCTATTGGTAATGAAGTAGAAATGAGGTATTGTTGTATGTAATTTATTTCACAAAAGTTCATAATGATAAAAAATACTTCTATCATAGTTCATATTCTTTCATCACACTCATATAGCATATTCCTGGTTTATGAACCGGCCTTTTGAAGGATCTTAGGCCATTGCTCTTCTCTGCGCACCAATTACCTTTTGAAAATATTTCAATGAGCACTAATATCCTGAAGTAACTCCTAATTGTAGAAAATTTGGATGACTGTTCGAAACTTTCTGTCAAAAATGAGTGTTTGAGGTTATTATAAATTATTTCGTCCTGTTCATACCCTAACGGAAATAGGTTCCTCCTACATGATTTATTATATGAAAATAAGAAATATATGAGAGATTAAGTGAAAAAAATTATATAAAAAGGTTGAAGAATTTCCACAGTAAGGAAGATAAAATTCAAAATATCAATAAAAACTCAACAAAAATTTGTAGGTGGGGTTATTCAGTTATTTTTCACATTAATCACCTACCAAAAATCTGGAAAATTGAATTACAGAGAAATTAATTTTTTCTCAGTTTGTACACCAGACATTAGTAATAGTACTGGAAGAAATCAATCACTTGATACACTACATTATATCATATGAAAGAGTATCAATACTTTCAATCTATCAGGTTTTCAGAAAAAAATACCGGTTTTCAACTCCTTATGAATACCTTCTGAATATAGCTTATTTGAATGTTGTGTAACGTGAAATGAGAAGTCAAATGTACCTACTGTAACAATGATTTGTATATTAAACAACATCTAGAAGGATTTTGCCATCTTGCTCGTGAATTTTTCTGAGCAAATTAACTAAAAGAATAATTTGTTCAGGCCAGTCTTAAATTACCTACACTGTAGGTTAATGGACTGACACCTATCCCACCTGACCCACGAAGGGCGTTGGATTATATCCAACAGGTGTCAGTGCAGCAATCTTCACAGAAGTGTTTCCTGCATTTGCTGTTGATGATAAAACTGCTGGAATTACAGGAACGGGCACACTTGCAGACCGGTTTCGGGCTATTTGGCGTCTCGTCAGTGCAAGGTAGTGGCCATCATCAACCTAAAGTTGATGATATTCCATAATTGAAAATTGAATTCCTTGCTCCTCTAATAAAGGTGCGTATTCACCAAAAAAGCGAGCACGAGCGAACAAGAGTGAACGAGCATTCTGCATCAATACTCGTCTGGTGAGTACGGGCTAGCGAGCGAGCGAACGTATGTTTGTTCGCGTTCAGAAAAGATCGAGAAGGCGGTACATCAAAAGGTGCTCGCACAAAGTAGATGGATCAACTACGACTACGAGCTTGAAGATATTCGCTCTGGTGTGGACGAGACATCAATATGTCGAGCAAACACGAGCGAACATGAGCGAACACGAGCAAACATACACGATTGCTCGCTCATGCTCGCTTATTTAGTAAATACGCACCTTAACCGAGCTTGAGCGAACGACAAACAACAAATTTGTCATCGCTGCATCTGGTAAACAACCGCATATCCAAAATTCACCTAATTCGTCGCATAAAGAACAAAAAACCTTCACATATATTCAGTGGGCATATTTGAAGACTGGCTGTAAATAAAATTATCTGGAAGGCCAAATAGCTCCAAATAAGTGTGCAAGTGTGCAAGTATGCCCGTTCCTGTAATTGAAAATCGATTCCAGAAGTTGTATCGCCAACAGCATATGCAGAAATAGTCTGGGACACAAGATCTGTTTTTTACAACTTCTGTCCAAGGGCACAAATTATGATCCAGGAATCATTCGATTCGCAATTACCTCTAGCAACCCTTTGAAAAATTTCAAGAGGGGCTCGAAAAAATTGTAAAAGTTATAAACAATTTAGTGAAAAAAATGGGGTTTGGTTTTTTGCAAATATCTCAAAAAATATTAATAATATCCGAAATTTGAAAAAAGATCCTTGAAGAGGAGGACATTTCCTGAAAAATCCTACCTCCCGGAACTTTATCACCAATATTTGAAATTTCAATTCAGAGGCAAAAATAGCGCTAAAAGCGGGCGATAAGCGCCCCGCACGCGCTGATTGATACGGACCTTTAAACAATACAAATTATTTTAACCCATCCAATATCATTATTAAGAAAAAAATTCACATACCTGCTAGACACTTGAATAAACAAAATCCATGGGAAAATTTTTTTTCCGTGATTATTTTATATTTTACTCAATCAACTAATTTCTAAGAATTTTAAATTTATATAAAAACCCTGATGATTTTTAAACTAAAAACCTCAAATTCTGTTCACTTCTTGAAGCTTTTCTTGAAAGCCTTCAAAAAAGATTCCCAGTGGAAAAAGTGAAAAATTTTGATTTTAAAATTTGTTATTGATAATCAAAGATGTTAAAAAGTGAATAATTCAATTAAAGCAATGACATATTTATTTTTTCCAATATTCAAATTTATTCGTATTCTTATCATTTGAAGTAGGTACCTAACATGAAAATTATGTTTCATAATTTGTAACTTTATTTGTTTAGAGAATTGTTATAAACAAATTTATCGTTTATAGGATGTTTGAAATTTTTTTGTGGGGAATTTCATTAGTCTGTTTGAAATCTGTTTCTCCGTTAACCAGCTGTCGCACCCTTACGAAAACAAATTTGTGCGAGCTAAGGATTAACGAGGTCTTACCTTTTAACGTGTGATTTCTAACACAGATTGGACGATAGCAAGTAAAGATCGATTGTTCAGACTAGGGCTTGAACCACCGACCAACACGGCAGTCAATTCGAGTGAGTGAACAAATCACCCACGCCGAACCGCTTGGCTACCGACCGATGATGAATATTATGATTTTTAAAAACAAAATCGTTTGCTTCTAAATATGAATATTAAGGAACGATTTTGTTTTCGAATCATAATTTCTATTTCTCTTTGATATTCTGAAAAACAACTTTTTTTAATTCATATTTTCTTTAACAAAATTTGAGGTTTTTAGTTTAAAAATATGTAAATTTAAAACTTGACTGATTGATTAACAGAAGTATGTCTAATAAAATAATCACGGGAAAAATGTTTTTCCAAGAATTTTCGTTTATTTAAGTGTTCAGAAGTTATGTGAATATTTTTTGTCAATAATGATACTTAAGGTCCGTATCGGTCAGCGTGTGCGGGACGCACATATATGTGGAAAATACATATAGATTATTATCAAGATCTCATCAGACTTTTACAGCAAAGCAGTTTATTGAATGATTTTTTCTCAAACACCTAGTTTCTGACAACAAACCTGCAAATGGAACATCCGAATGATACTCCTCCAGGATATTATCAACACTCCTGTCCGACAAGGACACACTACTGGAAAAACTGCCGCTGGATCCGTCGAAAATCAGAAGATATTCGTCTTCCGTCTCAGTCTCCATATCTTTAGACCTCCTCTTGTACTCCTGATGAAGCCACGAATGTCGTCTTTTATATATAGTAAAGTTCAAACTTGCATGCGCTGATAAGTTTGGCTAAACCGAAAATATTTGTCATGCTAGTGCTTCGAAAAATTAATGGAAAGATGCAGAGGACATCTGAGGGAGTGTTTTGAAGCAATGGAAAAAAATAATGTAGCAAATAATTCTATGTTATCTAATGTGATTTTCTAGCAACACAAATATGAAGTGAAAAATGACAGAAGATAGGTAAATCAACCACGCAGAAAAAGTCATTAATGAGAATGAAGATTCACTATGCAAACTATTTACACAATACCTTTGAGTTATAGGATAATTTTTTGTAAATAATATAGGCAATTTAGGCTAACATATTTGAATATTCACTAATTTGGACATGTGGAATGAATTTGAAATATTTTGGGGAAGATTTTATCTTTCAGGAAAATCCTTAAGGCGCTCTAGGAGCGTGCCTGTGCGAAAGTATCCATTCAGATTTTCATACAAAAAATGTGTGAAACTTCCGAAAAAGGAAGAAAGCAATTAAGTTCAAAATAAACAGTTTATAAACATCTGTAGATCATACATAGAAATTGCAGATACAAACTGGAAGAAAGTTGAACAATATAATATATGAAAGAGTTACGGGAGGGGTTTTTCTTTTAGTTTGTATTTGAAAGTAACTTCGATGCATGGCCCACACATATTTGTAGATAGTCTATGTTGAACTAAATTGCCTTATTCCTTCTTTGTCCCAAATTTTTTTGTATAGATTTACATAAAATGGTCATTCAAAGTTGCTTTAAAGTTGATCAAAATCATTTTTAATCCCCTTGAATTCGACTATATATTATGGGAAAATAAAATGACATATTTTGATACAGATTATCGTCAACCCTCCCATTGTCTCCCATATGGTTATTGACACAATTTGGTCACCTTAACGATTCCAGTATTTTTAAAAACTACACCTCACGATTTGATCTTCACAAACTGTATTTTGAAAAATATATCTCAAAATGTTTCGCTTGCACAGCTAGCGAAACATATTATGAAAAAGCCTAGCTTTTTCACTTGAAAAAATTACTGTGCTAACGAAACATGAGATATATTTTTCAAAATTAAGTTTGTGAAGATCAAATCGTGAGGTGTAGTTTTTGAAATTACTATGGACTTTCATCAAGTAACGGCCGAATCAATCAGAAAAAAATTCCAGTAGTATTCAATCAACTTTTTAAGTTATTAGTAGTTACCTTGAACTTACAAACATTTTTATTGCGATTCCCAGTATGGTTTGGACGACACGCAGAGAAAATCAATCGGTCGGCCGTAGAGGTCACTAATATGTCTCCTGGACCTACCCAAATAGCCCTTTTCTTTTCAATTAAATGTCCAAAGTTTTTGAGGAAAACTCTGTTTACCCGTATGCGACTCTGTGTGCATTAATATAAACAGTGCACCGGATTTTTTTTAGTTTCTTTTTTATGCTATCATCCAGAATCGATAAACGGATGAACGGAGATGATTGGTTGTTTTCGAAATTCCGTTGAACGGATACAGATTGAGTTTCTCATTCGTCCCTGGACACTTTTATTTATTTTATTCTGCAATTGCAACTAGGAGGCCATCTCAAAGTGTTAACTCATTTGTGCTGACCTCAATAAGACGATAAAATAGAAGCAGAAAATCTATTTGATTATTCTGACAGTAACAACATTGACAATAAATAATACTTCATATTTATAAATATGTCATTTTATTTTCTGTAGGTATTTCATTATATATTGAGTTAGTTCTAGTTAATTATCAATGAATACATTTTTGATAGACATGGGTGAATATTGAAGAATTTGATGCACATTTTGTGGTATTTGGGTCAGATCCATAAACATTTTCTCTCAAAATACCATACTCTTCAAACAAAAAATGTTCTCAAAGGAATTTTGAAACCAACTTGGACCCTTTCGAAAGGTCTATCACTTGGATTTCTTGGATTTTTGCATATCAACGCAAATTTCAACTAGTGTCTCACTCAATATATTGAAACACATAGAAATTAATGTGATATTGAAAAAAATAATTTTTGACATTCAATATGGAGCAAAAATATAAATCTGATCATAGAATATTATCAGTCTGTGACAAAATAGACTAAGCAACTTCACAACAAAAAGAACCTGAAATGCATAGCAAGCTTTATTCATCATCATGTAACAATGTCATACAATAAAACTAATAACAATAACATAAAACAATAATATAATATAAACAACACACATACATTTATTGACGAGTAGCACCCTAGTAACATTCGATTAATAACATTATTCAATAAGAACGGATAAATCACATATGAATACTATTTGTTTTTCTCATTATGAACCATGATGAATTTTGGGAATTCATATTGCGTCATTTTCAAAGTGAAATAATCCATTTGTTTGAAGGTAGCTGACAATGTTTCTTGGTGCATTTCATTAGTTCGGACTTCCATTGTCTGATATGATATAAATTTATTTGAAATACCGAAAAGAACTTGTAAAAAATTAAAAAAGAGATTAGCTGAAAAAATAACAATTATATTGGACAAAAAAACTGAAATTACAATGAAATGAAATACAAACAACAACCAAAAAATTAAACTATTAACACAACATGAAAATTAAGAAAATTATCAACAAGAAATGAAAATTGAAAATTAAAAGATTCCAAACCTACTTACTTTATGACGTTTCGATTGTTAGTATCCACATTCGTCTTCGGGTGATAATTGGACTCATTCCTCCGAGATCTGACTATTTATAGGTCATTCGAGTGCTTTTATCTATCCCCTCGTACCTCTCATCCCTTCATCGGATTTAGCGGAAGCCGACCGTTTGGCCATTTGGTCGTGTTCCATATATTGCGTATCTCTACGCTAGCTTGGCTAAATGCGTTGTTGGACAACATATATGCGACTTCTTTGAATTTTCTCCTAAACCAGTGTTCTTCCTTGTGGATGATTTCAGCTTGAGCCCACTTGATGTTATGTTGATGAGTCCAAACGTGCTCTGCTATTCCTGATTTGCTGGTTTCTCCTCGCCGTGTGTGTGTTTCTTGTGCTCGGCAATGCGAACTTTCAATGGCCTCTTAGTTTCACCGATGTATGATTCTCCGCACTAACAAGGTATCCGATAAATGCAATTCTTGAAATTGCAATTCGCGTTTGGTGGCTGCTACGGTTGCTACGGCTGCTACGGTTGCTACGGCTGCTACGAATAGTGTTCCCAGATCTGAAGCTGGTTTTGATATTATACTTGGACACAATCCTTCTTATCTTTTCTGACAATGTAGGGAAGTGAACGTACTGGTTGTGGCGGCTTTTGATGGTTACTCTAAAGTGATTGTGAAACAAGTTTAGCTACAAGACAGCAAGAGCCCCACAAGGAAGAGAAGCCATCACAACTAGTACTTGTACTTCCCTACATCGGAGGGTTGTCAGAAAGAATAAGTAGGATTGGGTCCAAGTATAACATCCGAACCTGCTTCAGATCTGAGAACACTATCCGTAGCAGCGTCACAAAAACCAGGCCACCAAACGCGGACTGCGATTCCAAAGAATTGCATTTACCGGATACCTTGCGAGTGCGGAGAATCATACATCGGTGAAACTAAGAAGCCTTTGAAAGTTCGCATTGCTGAGCACAAGAAACACACACAGCGAGAAGAAACCAGCAAATCAGGAATAGTAGAGCACGTTTGGACTCATCAACATAACATCAAGTGGACTCAAGCTGAAATCATCCACAAGGAAAAACACTGGTTTAGGAGAAAATTCAAAGAAGCCGCATATATGTTGTCCAACAACGCATTTAGCCAAGCTAGCGCAGAGATACGCAACATATGGAAACCTCTAATCAAACGGAACACGACCAACTCCCGCCAAACGGTCGGCTTCCACTAAAACCGATGAAGCGGAGAGAGGGATGAGGGGATAGGTGAAAGCACTCGAATGACCTATAAATAGTCAGATTTCGGAGAAATGAGTCCAGTTATCACCCGAAGACCATTGTGGATACTAAAAATCGAAACGTTGTGAAGTAACTAGTTTTGGAATATTTTAATTTTCAATTTTCATTTCTTGTAAATAATTTTTTCAATTTTCATCTCGTGTTAATACTTCAATTAGTTTAATTTTTTGGTTGTTGTTTGTATTTTATTTCATTGTAATTTCAGTTTTTTGCTTAATATAATTGTTATTTTTTCAGATAATCTCTATTTTTATTTTCTACAGATTCATTTCGGTATTTTAAATCAATTTATATCATATTAGACAATAGGAGCCGTAACTGATGAAATGAAATAATCCACATGTCAATTCTAACAATTTGTAGAATAATTGGTGAGGGGAATTGAATATAGAATATAAGCACCCGTTTCCTCTTCTTGTGAAATAGATTTTGCTTGCAATAGAACATCAACACGACAAGTTATTATGACAAGTTATGAGATAACTTCAACGAAAGACATGATTCGTTAAAATCTAGATCGATGGATTGAGTTTGGCCGGACAAGCAGAATAGAGGTTGTTTTTTTCCCGAAGATGAGACCGCTATCGGAAAATGTATTTTTGTTTTAGCAAAAAAAGATGCAGAATGCTATTTTGGAGTCAACGTTTCAAAATTTTTGAAGGAAACTTTTCTTAAGTGCTGAACTTTTCATTCTTAAAATATTAGACGACTGGAAATATTCCAAAAATAAGGAGTCCTAAACTAAATTAAATATTTCGAGTGATTTAAACTAGCATCGGCGAGAGTATCAAACCAAATGCACGTTAAATGTTCCGTAGCGTAAAACAGATTTATAATCGACAAGCTGTATCTTAGAAAGTACTTACTGAAATCGGATTTGTTGCATGTTGTGTTTTCTTTCATTTATTTGAAATGATTGGAATGTGACATGAATTCATCCCCATATTTACTTTCCAAAAATATATAACACCATCTTCAATGAATTATGATCGTGTCATTAGATATCACCCCTCAAGATGAGGTTTGACGAAATATCTTCGATTGCGCCCCATGAATTATTGAACTATTTTCCTGGAAATGACCCAATATGAATTGGTAGATTTCATTGAATTTGAAAATAAAAAATAGCATAAATAGATATCAGAAGAATGTTCCTGTATAAAAAAATAATCAATAAGGAGACACTATTTTACTTTGTACCAACCATATTTTAGAAATTCGTTTTATTACTGAAAAGACAAAAGGTAACTGTTCTGATTATTTTTCTTCTTCAGCTGCACAAAAAAAGAAATGCTAAAGGTAGGAAAGATGATATGTCCCCTTACGAGGATTCCATCTATGGGATCAACAGAGAACTCAATCCTCAAATATCGACGATAAATGAGGCGTCCCAAGGCATTTAGTTGCAAAGCTAAGCTTCAACATCGACCACTGACAAAATTCCTCCTCTTTCTTTTACTTCAAGGCAACTAGATGTAAACTAGAGCCCAAACACAACGCATTTATGATTCAACGAAAGGGAGATGTCACAGCCACTCAAAATTATGACTTTAAACTCGAAATTTCGACTTTAAACTCGAAATTTCGACATCAATCTCGAAATTTCGACATCAATCTCGAAATTTCGACATCAATCTCGAAATTTCAACTTGAAACTCGAGATTGAAGTCGTTATTTTAAGTTTAACGTCAAAATTTCAAGACTGTAGTCTAAATTCCGAGTTTAAAGTCGTAATTTCAAGTTCATAGTTGAAATTTGAGATGTAAGTCAAAATTTCGATATGTAAGTTAAAATTTCGAGATGAAAGTGAAAATTTCGGGTTTAAAGTCGTAATTTCGGAATAAAAGTCGAAATTACAAGTCGAAGTAACAAATAGTAAAAATATGTGGCTCCTCTGCGCTTCCGTACAAAATATTTTGAAGTGAAAAGATAAATGCTAACTTTAACAATCAAACCTCAGACTTTATGCGACATGGTGTTAAAAAAAGAGAAAAAGTTAGTCTGAAACAGTTTATTAGCACATATCAGTTGAAAACCCTTTTGATCTGTGGTAACCGTAGCTTTCAAATGAAAACCAATTTAGTGAATATACTACTTGTGTAGTATAATAGCGGACCCATTTAGCATGACAGCTTATGAATGTACAGGACCCTTTATTAAATAGTGTTGAAAGTTTTTCGGGTTGCGGATTATTAATCTTCATTTAATTTAAACTTATTCCAAATGTTATTGAGTTTCTCCGTAATCAGTATCATAAACATATGTTGTACAGTGCTTCTACATCAGGAAGGGAGATACTAGAATTGCGAAATCAATATGAAAAACACTGTTTCGTTTTCGAAATATCGGTTTTTGAGAAGTTAAAGCATTGAGTTATACAGGATACGCCAGTTTCGGAACTGTCGAATATTCCCGTTTTTCGCAAAGTTATTTTTTTAATTTCAATATGTTATAAATTAGTTCTCTGCTTCAAATTGTTGAAATAATGAAGTTATTGGTTTTATTACTCGGGTTTGATAATTTTTTGAACTGGTCTTCTAGATTTCAGAAATGAAACACTGGGTTATCGGACCTTTTTTTATGTATTTGGGATTCAAAAATCATATACAGGATGTCCCAAAAATTTATGACATTTCCAGCTGACCCGAGGATGATGGAAAACTAACTTTATGATCAATATATTTGAAACATATTTGAAACATATTGTTCATGAAGAATGTCATAAAAATTACAAATGGATCTATCGCAAATTGCCAAACATTTAGGTACATTTCATCAACGCACTTTTTTCATATTTATATCATTTTGACTTCTATTATTATCTCGGATACACTTCACCAATCCCTACTGTGACATAGATGATACTGAAGGTGTTGACATCTTTCCCAACATCAAAGCCATCTATGTGATGGACAGAAGATTCAATCCCCGTATATCAAGGAGCCTCGTTTATCCGAGATATTCGAAAATTGAGTTTTCTGTCGATCCCATAGATGGCGGGTCGAAAGGCCGCTGTCTGGTGGGTTCAAGAGATGATATCATTTATTACGAACAGAAAATTCTCGAAGATCTATTTTTTCCCTTCACTCGCCTCGAGTCAATGTGATACATAATGATTATATTATTTATCGCCTTTTCAGAAAAGTTCACTTCAAATTTTTGAAACAAATATCTCACAGATATTATATAATAATACTCATAAGTGAATTATTTTTCAGGAAGAATGCCGTGTGAGTCAGAATGTCAAGATATTTTAAGTGGTAGAAGTGTGTTGACGTGTGAACCACGAGCAATCAAGCAATTAGAAGGGAAAATACTACTTTTTGGACACAAAATTTCATATCGAGAAGTTATTTCGATATTATTCTATATAATCGATTTGAAATCTAGGTTAACATGATGAAATTGATACTTTTGATGAAATACTTCAAGACAACATGGAGTAGTTAATCAATTAGTCAAATGAAGAATCTTCACTTGAGAGAAAGTCGATTGTTTTTTAAAAATATCAAATTTCAGTTGGTACTGAGCACATTATGTCATTTCATATTTTAAGGTGCATAATCATGGATATAGAAAATAATGCTGGAATGATGCATAGAAATACTTATTTTATGAACGGGACATAGTCCAAAATAAAATGCTACCCCTACAAGTGCTATCATTCCAATACACAGACATGCACAATGTACATAAAACCAGACAATAAACATATAATACTGACAGTAAACAAATAAACATCAGACATGCTTTCACAAGCTCACCTGACTAAGAGGACGCATTTTTTCATAAATAACACTTTCGGCTTGCATGGCGCTTGGAGGGGGATGATCGGGAGTAGGAGGCTGGTTATAGTGAGTTGGTGAAAGGGGAAAGTTTGATTTAACAGAGACTTTCTTGTCATTTTTGAGAGTACATTCCTTGTCCTCGCTTGGGTCGGACACCATAATAAACGCACTGGACACAAATTTAACCTCCGGAGCCGAGGAACTAGCCGCAGGTTCTTCCTTACACTTTCTTCGGAAATCATAGTCTTCATACACCTCGGGATTCCGTCTTAACTTTCTCCTGGGATTTTGTTGTTTAATGATAATATTCTCATACATAGAAGTGATCGCGATCGGTTCGTTCTTCTTCCTGTTGTCGAGGTCTTCGCTCTTACCCCTTTGCAACTCACTCTTGGGCCTTTCGGGCTCGTCGTCGAGAGCTATGCTGAAGACGTTCATCTCCACGTACTGGTCCATGCTCCTTCCATGGCCAAGGCGATCTCTGCGGTTCTCTTTATCGTAGTCGTTTAGGTTGCCTTGGCTCCTGGTTCCGGTGTGGGAGAGAAAGAGGTACTCATAGGCGCTATTGCTAACACCATCGACTGACATTGACATGGGTTGGATGAGAGTTGGAGAGTTAGATATATTCCGTCGAGGGGGTTTTTTGGGAGGAGTTGGCTGAAAAAAAAAGATTAAGGTGAATATTGTGACCACTGGAAGTATATATTTCAGGAAATATGTTACATTTTCTACTTATTTTCCGGGATTGTTTCAGATATGTTTCGTTAGCAAATGTAATTTTGGCATCCTCAAGATTCCTGCCTATAACAATTTTTTTCAATTTCTTGCTTTCACTGCAGATCCATGCCGCCTTATTGAATATCTGAATTCATTCAATTATGTTTCGGTTACTACAAACTTTATAATCATGGCATGGTGGGATGGTTAAAATGTTGGTGTCTCAACAACTGTAGACTTTTTTGTATGTCGCAATCGACATACAATCTTGTGTTCTTGAATCACTTTTGCCTTTACCGTGCAAACAAAACGATATATATTATTTAAAAAAGTTACCTAGACTATATACAGTTGATGAACGAAGAATGTGATTTGGATTTCTTGAAGGATACACAGTACTCAGGGCCGTGAAAATCGGATTTAGTGATTTCCTCTAATAGTACTTGATTATTCATTCTGGTGAGAAGAAACAGTTCTAAGAGAAATCGCAGAATTTGATCGATGTATGGTTTTGTGAATCTCTTGAGACTCGACAGATTCAGTTCCAGTAAGTCACAACGATAAAAATCGAGTGAAGTAAGTAAAGTATTACTTTTTCATAAACTACACCTTACGACTTGATATTTACAAACTTTATTTTTTAAAATATATAACATATACTTTGGAAAATGGAGATCAAATTGTGAGGTGTGGTTTATGAAATTACTATGTATCTTCATCAAGTAACGGTCGAATCAATCAGAAAAATATTATTCAATGACGTTAAGGTCGAAGTGTTTTATGTGATATTTTCAAATGATTCACTGACGTTGTTGACTTGATGACTGTTCCAATATATTACGAAGCACGAAGGCTATATCTCCTCTTACAGAATGAAAGTCGACGAAATTTTGTAGCCCAAACATTTGTAACATTTGCTTTCTATTTCATTTTCGAGGTCAGGTGATGATATAAAGCGAATATTTACTATTTTGACGATAGTTTGAAAAATTATTGAACTTCGACGTGAAATAGTGATACCTGTAGTAAAGGGTTATCCATTGATGAGTGGACACCCCATATATAATATATAATTCTGTTATAAATGCTGATTTTATCCTTTCCTCGGACATTGTAACTACGTACAAAAATTAGGCAATTTCGACAAAGGCTGTAGGGTTCGTGCCGATCGCACGAAGGCAGGTCTTTTTTTTGAAATGTGATCATTTGCTGTACCTACTTATATTCTCTCTCGTTATGTGGTTCCAGAACTGAATTTTAATCTTAGTTGAAATGCTTTTCACTTACTATTCTCTTCTCGATACATCGACAAAAAGTCTCTAATTTGTTTTTGTTCTCTTAACTTCATCTTACTCAACGAGGATGATATTTTTCTCAGTCCAAGAGAAAATGAAAGTCAAATATAAAGTATAATAAGTAGAAAAACGACTCCATGGACAAAATAATAAAAAAACACCTTGTGAAATCTCATATAAAAAATGTTAAATCCTATAAAATTAAAGAAAATAGAACAAATAATTCGGCGCCAATTTGAGTGTGCTATTTACTACTTAATTTAAACTCATAAACAACTACAAACGTACCAACTCGGTACAAAACACTTTTACTTTTACTTTTACTTCAGGGAGAGTGGTGTATAACTTTCAATTTGCGCCCTTTTTTGTAATTGTAATATGAACTCTGTAGCTAAACAACCCGCACTAGGATCCCAACAATATATAAACTCTTTGCGAATGAGAAGTGGATTCAGATAAAATAATATGTGAACTCTCTCAATATCAACTAGTTAGTAAAAAAACAAACACTCACATAACGCCTCTTTGGGTGGTTTATGGTCAACCATAGATTCTGTTGAACTGATGTGTCTTCGATAACAACACTTTTATTTTAAACTTCCCTGTACCCACTATCGGTTTACGGTTTCACTACCAGTTTTCCCTAAATTTCGCACCACGCGTTCAGACAAAATAACTTCCCTATTTAGGCCACCTTCCCCAGCCTCGGAGGCTGAGAGATGAGACACCCGATCTCGTCTCGACGAGTTCCGGTGACCGACTTTTTTGTGTCTCCCTGAAGAAAACTGCCAACCCCTTGCGTCAACTACGCTAGCCACAAAAACCTCATTTCAACATTTTTTTAACCTTCCCAACTGTATGACCATCGGCAGGATGCAATATATTCATTTTTTTCGACTAGCTCAAATTTAACATGACCACAACGATGCTCGAAGGTCCGACAGTCATAAAATAATTCAGGTCTTTTTCATCTGGAAAAATATCGACACCAAAGAAACGAATGATCGACCTCGATCTCAATGAATAAAATAATAGTTTATGTTACTATCGCAATGGCAGTTATTACAATTCTGTAATAACCTAATTTTTTTGATCATTTCGTTCGTAGAAAAATTAAAAATTGGATGACATTGCATTACAAGAAAATTCGAAAACTCCTGTATAAAACGACATCTTCTCTACAAATTTATTCTTCTTTGTAATCATTACTTATAGAAATAAGAGAAATTGAAAAAAATATTGAGTACTACTCATGATTCAGAATTTTTATTCTGTCGTCATTTACAAGTTTTCACTGTTCATATTACAAACTAATTATTATCATACATTATCGAAAGAAAATTAAATGAACTCTAAACTAATACTGATAAAAGCAAAAGTTTGTTTGTATGTAACGGACAAACCCAAAATTACTTAAATAATTTTATCAATTCTGACATCAATAAAATAAAATTTGTTTTTTCGGTAACCAGCTGCCACCCCTCAGAGGTCGAAACTTGTACAAGCTATAATACTGAAAAACGTCATTATCATCTAGTAACATGGACTGTGTTTTATTAGAAAATTGCATTATAATCCTAGGCATTGAAAATTCATTGTATAAATCAATTATTAGATGTGTGCGCTAGACGAGATGCTAGTAATTTCTGAACTAATTGCAACTTGTGTACTTACCGAAACTTTACTATTCGATCCAGGACTATGTCCTCCTCTAGAACTGTTCATCGGTATGTAAAGAGGGGCTCCCCCACTATCTGGCCTCCTGGGGTAGTATCCACAACTAGACGCAGTGGAAGCAATACTGATCTGGTCCGATTCTCTACTAGCGCTCAAGTAATTCAAGTCTTCCGAATGGTTGCTGGTATCCATGAATTGTTTGGGGACGCACGGTATGTGGTAGAGACTATTATCGGACTCCCTGGAAGAATCAGAGTTACTGTGGAAGCCGCAATCTACGGCAGAGTGGAACGAATTCGTTGAAGCCAGGCTGGTTTTCCGAAGATCGAGCTGTTCTTGGAAATTAAAGGTAATGCCATCCAATGGGGTGTGATCTACGATATTTCTGGGATTCGTGCGCTTTTTAAGGATGGGCAGGCTCTTGTAAGCTTTAGATTTACGCCTAAAACATGCACATGCGGAACTTTATAGGATTGTGAGTTTACCGGCATACTCCCTGTTGGTTTTGGAAAATAGTAACGTCATTATTGCAATATCTGAAAACTTGATTTCATTTGCATTTGCCCGATGAAGCAGAGCTGAATACATTTATTGATTCACAGAAAATACACATAAAAAGTAAATAACGTCTATTCGAAACCTCAACAAATTAGGCGAATCAATATTTCTACAGACAGTCAATATGAACTGGAGAAAATAACTGAAAAGAACTGGTGGAGGGAAATAGATTGACTCTGTACTGGGTGCCATAATACTCATGAATCAAAACATCTGTGATATGTCAAAGTCTTTGGTACACGACCAGATCAAGAGACATAATGAATACTGGAAAAATATATTCCAGAAAACCAATAGAGAGCTTTTATATAAGGATCGCCTAAAAAGTACCGGATTTCAACTCCTAGTATCTCTGAAATCAATTAGTTTTGAATATATGTTTACATACGTTTTATCCATGCGATTTCACACGAAAGGCCTCTTGAAATAAATGACCTGAACAGATTAATTGCATGGCACTGGATATTTTTAAAGTCATCGCAATTTAAGAGTACTTTATATTTTTTGTTGGATAGTCAATGAATTTTTTGCCGTTTCAATAAATCCTTGATTTTCGTTGAAATTATTAGCTTAAAATTTAGACAGATACATTTCAAAATCGATTTTCTCATAAGCGGTAAATAAATGATGAATCGGAAAAATATTTTTCTCTTGAGAAAATTATGAAAAATTTGAAATTAAAAGGCGTGTAAATCAAAATTCTGCTTTTGAGCAAACTTCTTTTTGTACACTAATTCAAAATAAAATCTTAACGAATGATTATGAACTCATTTTCTTGAAAATCTTTTGAAAATTATGGATTGTCTCAAATATGAATTGACCATTGAAGTCTCCGTTTGAAAAAGAATGGCATTCAATTCTGCAGATATATTTTCAAGTACCGATGTGAAAAGCTCCATTTTTAGTACTCTTTAATGAAAAAAATGGTGGGGTGGCATTACACGTTACATTTGTTTGATTTTGGAAACCTGACCAGCCGATTCTGAGTAATTAACAGTGACAACTGACAACAAAAGGTGAATATTATACTCAAAATAAATATTTTGTTCAAAAGTCAGTCCAATTAATCTTGACATATGTTCAATATCCTCTTCTTGTCACTAATGGCACTAATGACACTATCATTTTCATCAAAAAGTACTGAAAGTTAGTCTTTTTATTTAAATTGTGATGAACTTGATATCTAGTCCCTTTCGAAAGTTAAAAGAGGGAGGGGGCTTTTTACGTTTGCTCTATGTAATAAATGAAACATCAAAACCGTCTAAGTTGAGCTGAGACCGTATCAGATAACATTTTTTATTTGTGAATAAATCATATTCAAGTGCTATTTTTCGGTCAAACTGACAATTTCACAGAAAATCCCATCTATATATGCAACAAGCTCTGCACAATTTTGGATATACACACGATTAAAAATCGGGAATCTACTGTCGTCAATGATTTTCTTTAACCAATTCAAACTATATTACTACCCTTTTCCAATATTCTTTAACATACATTTTTATGCTTTTTTAATAAAGATTGTGACGGTTGCTGAATGAAAGAGACTATACTGCATTTGATACTGAATGCTAGAAACTTTTTGAGATGTCGTCCAAATATAGAAGAGGGAAATGATGATAAGCTGCCTTCTTTTTCAAATGAAAATCAACATAATAACAAGTTTGTTGTCAGTGTAATTTGATGACAGAAAAAGAAAATTATTACGAATTTTAATTCAGTAACTCCATGCAATATTACAATTATTTTACCGATTTTCGACTTTCCAAAACCAACAGTTTCGACCAACCAGTACTCTATTCAAAACATAGAAAAGTTTGAGGTTCCCCACAATTTGTTAAAAAAAAAGACAAAAAAACATTGTAGTCTACATATGATTACCTTAATAATGTATGGAAATAATTGAACGCTCATAACACAAATGCGTTATGATATGTTATGTTTATGTTATATAAATCTTGAATATCATTCGGTAAGTTATTCCACAATTACGAAGTCAAACTGAAGCTGATAACTGCCAAAAAAACGACTATACATATGAAAAAATATAGACATTAAATTTTGACAAAATGTACTAAGCTATTGAAAAAATAATTTACGTATGATTCACCGTGTTAGATATGAATGAGTTGAGTTCGAGTTGAGGAATTAGAGATCATTTCTTGATGATGCCAACTCGATTAATGGAACACAATATGCGATAGAAGTGTTTTTTCTTAAAAAGAAGAAAACATCAAAAATTGTCTCTACTAACATCTGCAGAGATAGGATGAGACACATCATTCAAATAACAGCTGAAAGAAAAATCCACTTTTCCGTTCTACGATAACACGGAGTCTTCATTATGGAACTTCTTTTTCGGAAACACTCCTAGTAGTTTAGGAACTGGCAGGAGATTGACCTTCACCCATCAGATAACTTGAGACAACATTTTATCAAATATAATTTATTAACAAACATGCCTATAATAACTTGCCTATCTCAAAATTTACATAGCTATTATTAATTGAACTAACTTTAATCAATTTCCTTTCATCACCTCCGCTCTGTTCAAAACCGAATGAATTTCATCTTAACTTTTAACACACAGAAAATGCCTAGGTAGGCTTGCCTACTGATTTCTGTGCATGGCTACCTGTCAAGCTGATGTTACCAGGTAAGCCAATATAGGTAACTACACCTATCTGTTAACAAATCGGAATTGATATCATAAGTAAGATATTTTGATCACAAAACCAATCGTATGGCCTTGCCTGCAAAAAATCGTACATGAAATATTATTGCGAAGCTATAAAGTTTTAGAATTAGAGCTATTGATTGATAGGTGCAAGTAAGAAAGTAGCTGCATCCTACCAGACCGTTGAATGTATCCAAGCGCGCATACTAGTATACTATCGAAAATCATTTATTAGTGACAATTCGTGCTGAATAATATAAATTGGGATTTATTGGGGATATTAAAATATTAATATTAAATATTAAAATTGCATATATAACAAGTAATACGTTGGGAATGTTAGTTAAAACTAATAAAGACAAAACATCCAAATTCGAGAAATCAGGAGTATGTAAATTAAAGTGTGGAACGTGCCCCAAGGTATATATTGGTCAATCTGGCAGAACATTTAGGAACCGAATCCTGGAACATCATAGGAGATATGTAAATGAGAAAACAAATTCAACATATTCAAATCATCTAGAAGAAAATCATATCTTTAACGAAGAGTTCGAAATTTTGCACATAGAAAATAAAGGTTTGAAACTATCATTTGGAAGCAATGGAAATTATTAAACTTAAAAATTCAAACATTCTAATGAATGACCAACTAGATTTGAATAGATCACCATTATTGAACTTGTTTTATTAAAAACCGAGAAAGAATTATTATCGATGTAGATGTGAGGTAATATGCTTCAGGTGATTATAATTCAACAGGTACCTTAGAGGCTGAGGTAAATTTTTGGAGGTAGTATCAATTATGGTTGCCTGTAGTAGATATACAAATATTAATGTAAGAATAACGTGAAGTATTCAAATCACTTGACAAAGTTACTGTGCTAGCGAAACATGTTGTGATATATTTTTCAAATGAAGTTTGTGGAGATCAAATCGTGAGGGGAAGTTTTTGATCTTCATCAAGTAACGACCGAACCAATCAGAAAAAAAAGATTGGTATAGTTACCTATATTGACTTACCTGTTCTCATCTGCTTGGCAGGTAGCCATGCACAGAAATAAATAGGCAAGCCTACCTAGGTATTTTCTGTGTGTTAAAAACTATCAGTTGAGAAGAAATTCATTCGGTTATGAAAAGAGTGTAGGAAATGAAAGAACAATTAAAAGTAGGTATGTAAACTTTTCGATAGGCAAGTTTTCATAGGCATGTTTGTGAACATCATCCATCGAGCGAAATTGTAGATTAAAACTCCACAATTGAACCTTCTTACCGAAGAAAATTTAAAATGTTTAGCTCATTCATCGTGGAAAATTCACAGCTACCATTTGATGACGCACTCAAGGAAAAACTTGTTTAATTTTTTGAAGTGTGGTTACATTTCGATAAAACGTATATTCGATATAGCTAGATGTGTAGACTAGTTTTGTATGCATACATTCTGGCAAGCAATATAAATACAATACAAAGTAGGAATTTCTTCAGAAATAAAAAGTATTCATTATTTACTTCATATACATTTTTAAAAATATCTCAAGTATTTTTGAAGAAACCCAACGATACATATATGTTGTAGCTTTGTATATATAACATATATGAGAATATAGACATGCAAAATAAAAAAAAACAGTTTATCTTACATCGGGGTGTTCGACATCGTAACATAAGTGTCATCGTTTTCATTAATATCTCGTGTCGGTGCAGTGTGGTTGGTCATGCTGTCACAACCATGCAAAACAAAATGAAAATGAATTTTATATTTACATGAGTTATCAAAAAAGTGGGAACTGTTCATGTCCAGAATGGTAAAATAAGTAATAGAAGGTTCATGGGAAAAATTGGAAATATATCGATCAATGACTACTTAAAACGACATTGCAATAACGGGCATAAGCAATTTCAAGACTGTTATGGTGTCTTTCAATTTGTAGATAATCATGCATTCCTAACGGAATGTTAACAGGATCGTTTTTTGTAACGCAGCCGATCAACATATTCTCAACCAGAACGAAACACGTAAATTTCATACTTTATGCATTTCTGAAAAAAATATGAACTCATCAAAGATAAGTTTGATGGAATCGTTAAGAATTCCAAAAACAATTGAAATATTTTCACGACTTCATACATTCAGGTGGTTCTTTGGAGTATTGATACGCTAAAATCATCTCACTCGACCTGAGGAAAGCAAAGGCCAGATTCTTCGATAAGCCGAGGTCTTCAATATGGTTAAAGACTCCATGCATTGGCTTATCCCTGTGATGCCGCAGGAGTACAGTGATCTCCTCGGTTTTTACGTGAGCCTTTTCATGACAGGGTTATAACTAGGTGACAGAGTTGTGATTACCTCGTTGAGGGTCGAAAACTGAACCGACTTTATTACCCAATCGGGTAGCTGTTCTTCAAAAAAGTTTCAATTTCTGCCGTCGCATGATCACGGAGCAAGCAAAGTTCACTTCACTACTCCAAACGAGTAGAGTAAAATCGGAACAGCAATCATATTAGTAGCGGTAAATTTGTTGTTTCCCGATAGTTACGATGACCAGATATGCCGGAGTTTGTGCTGATTCTTCCCGCGGAGAGAGTTATTGACTGATGTTACCGAGGTAAGTATACGTTTCTTCCGCATCTACATGCTGTAGGATGCTTCTATTTACAAGTTGCACATCCTCTGGAGATGAACCGTTGCAGAAATGTCTTTATCGAACTTCATACCAATAGCATGCGTGTACTCTTCCACCACCCTCAAGGACAAATGGTTTCCAAGGCTGCCACAGTTATACACATGGGTATTTTTAGCGTAACGGGAAATGACAATAGAGAGATGCAGAAAAGTAGGGGACTGAGAGAATCGCCCTGAAAGACACCCCTCTGAAATTGGCTCGCTCTCTTTGGACTCTAGCCTGACCAAATCTTATGGTGAAGCGAGTCCGACAGAGTGGAATCAGTTCCTCAAGGCACCTCACTATTTTGTCGGATATCGCTAGGCATTTGAACAAATGCAAGATGAGCTCATGTGGCATTGTACCAAATGCCTTGCGATAATCGATCCAGGCCATAGAGGTTACGTCTAAACTGAATCGATTCCTACATTACCTATCTATCGATAAGCAGGCTCTCTTCAATCCAGCGACTTCTCTCTTCGACCCTCGACCCTTCGACCCGTTCGAATAACCGATCAACTGTGGCGAGTATTCACGTGTATGCGATGTTCGTGAACAACTTGTAACACGAATTTAAGCATGTTATCGATCTGTAATTCTTAGGAATTGACAAAGTTTTGTTTTTGGGGATAAGAACGATCCGTCTTTCGACAAACCAATGCAGAATCGGCTGCTCTCCGTCCGTGAGTTGAAAACTGTAGCCAGATGGCGGTGGGTGTTCGATAATTCTTTACATCAATGATTATTCAGTCCATCTGGGTCTGGACCCCGTCATCCGGAGTTATCGTAATGAGCAGTTCATTGAGCTCAGGCTGTCGAAGCTCTCTGCTGGAAACTTCGAACTGCACTAAGGCTGGATTATCTACGTTGAGTGATATTTATCCTCATTAGTGACATTGAATTAGCCACTAGCATTCATATCCTATCAAGGCAGTGCTGCTTGGTGGTAAGCAGCATATCTTGACTGAAAAGGTGATAGATGCGTCTTTATTTGGCGCTTATTCGTCCCACTGCGGGTTTATTACTCTATTCGAACTTTCTTATATATTTATATATTATTTATAACTTATTTATATTTATTTGTATACTTACTCTTACCAACTCGTAAAATATATGTGAAACTATCTTGCGTTGTTAAAAAATGTGTTCACAATGCACCATCCCTTCATCATTAACTCATTGTTCATTTGTTTGTTAATGAATATAAATCTTATTTTATGCCTAGCTGAATGTGAATACTTCTATGTGAATTGCTTATTTTCAGGTATATATCATTCAGGGGCAACTATCATTCTACATGTTATATTCTGGACATGAACATTTGCTCAACTTCTATCTTACATAGATATTGCCGACACTCCTGAAACTCTCCTGTCATCGAATGCTTCTGGAGGTCGCGCGTGTCTCTGGAAGTCCCATCTCTGCGGAGATGTCCCAGGTGAAGGATCAGTTGTTACAGATCTTGCACTCTTTGATGATGGTCTTACATTCTCGTATGGACTGCCTGAAATATGACCATGGCGAAATAAAGAAAAAGTGTATGTACAGTGCGGACGTAAAAGATTACCCCACTCTCAATTTGAACGAGAAGATATCGAGATCGGACAAATTGAACGTGAAGAGAAATCAATTTTAGATGTTGTCGTCAGAGGGCGCTACCATTTTTTAATGGAAAAGAGCAATATGTGATAAGTGATTTGATAAGTGATCAAAAGGTGTTGGAAACATTCCATAATATATGAAACGAATGTTGTGAACAAACTTCATTTTTGTCAGGAAGTCAATGATAAATATTTTAAACAATTATTAGAATGAACTGAAATGAAAACATTGAAAAAAAAATCTAAAATATATAATTATTTAATAAAACATAGGTTTCATTTACCAAACAATCGAGGTTCAAAAAATAATTTTATATAAATATTATCTGACAAATAATATTTATGGATCGTTAAATGATAAAATATCTACTATTGGTATCTTTCTATATCTAACAAAAGCATTCAAAACTTAACGTCATGAGTTACTATTGAGGAAATTGAAAAATATATCGGTTTTCGAGGAAAAATCCAAAAGTTATTATGAGTTATCTCAATGATAGCTCAATGACACAAGTTCAAGCTGAAGATGTTTTCAGTGATGCAAAATTGTTCGAATATGGAATTCCACAAGATACCGTTTTGGAACCCTTACTATTCAATGTCTTTGTAAATGAATTGCTTTCGTAAGAAACCAACGGAAAAATTCACACTTTCGCTGATTATATTTCACATACAGCTTCCACAAGATACCGTTTTGGGACCCTTACTATTCAATGTCTTTGTAAATGAATTGCTTTCGTAAGAAACCAAAGGAAAAATTCACACTTTCGCTGATGATATTTCACATACAGCTGAAACTTGGATTAAATTATTCTAGATGATTTCAAAAATATTAGTCACTTTGACAAAAACTTTCATTCACTTCTTATGAAAATTCAGGAACCTTCTTTCGAAATTTCAATTTGTAAAATAATTTTTGAACATGCATTTACTCAAGATTTTTTTCACAATCTCAGATGAGTAATTTCAGGATAGGATGGTGTACAGAAATTACATTCAAAAAAATCGAAAATTATAAAAAGAATATTTTTGAAAATGATAAAAGATGGAGATTAGAAATATTCAACCAAATTATTGTTTGGAGAGAGTGAAATTCAATTATATATTTATAGAATAATGACTAACATTTTCAAAAATGAACAAAATATCAAATTTGATGATCATACACATAATACTCGATATAAAACTCAAATAACAGCAAAAAATGAAATTCCAAAAAAAATTCTTTGAGTAACTTTCAATATATCATACTCTATCCATCATATTTTGCAACAAAACCATTCCACAGACTTCAGTTCGTTAAGATTAGTTAGACAAGTTAACAACAACAGGCAACTAGATGCCTATGAGAGTGTAGAAATAAGTAAACACAATAATATTATGAATAACGATGACGGGCCTATACCAAAGAGCATACTATATAGCTTGTTAAAATAAAATAAAATAATATTGGGTTTACTGATTACTACATAAGGACACATTGCAAAAATAAATTTGGAAAGGCAATATTGTGAAATTAATTTCTATATATCTGAAAATTGTGTCATATAAACATAAATTGTAAAATAATAGATAAGGCAAAATTGAAAAATTAATTTAGGTTGGTAAGTAGTATCATCCCTGTGCCAAAATTTCCATATTCGGTGACTTCATCGTCCACAATATGTAATGGCTCAAATTTTCAAATATCAACGACAAACAACGTCGCGAAGCTGATACTTTTGCAATAGATAAGTAGCGGACTTACTCAGATTACATAACAACCAATACAGTCACCATAAGATCTCCATTGGGATCTTCTGATCAGAAACTCATTTCAGTATTGAGTGAATTACCGGTAAATATTGGGAAACAATCTAAGCCGCACAAAGTTTGACATAACAGATCTGCTGAGATGGAGGATCTTCAAGACCATATCCGAAATTTCCCCTAGCTAGATGTTTGTTTCAGCTACGAAGATCCATCAACCTGTGCTTCTCAAATCACGGAAGCTATTCTATCATCTATGGATGCATATACTCCTTTTTCGATGAAACGAACTTCTACCGGCAAACCTTGGTTCAACAAAATTTGCGAGCAAGTTGTCGCCTCGCCTACCAGCAGTGGCGCGAAAATCCCAGTGCCGAAAACTGAACAAGGTTTATTAATGCTCGAAACAGCTCCAAATTTAGGATGAATGAAAGCAAAGAACTTCACCATCAAAAAACTAGGGATAAACTGCTTGCCAATCCTTCCTTTACAAAATCCACAATTCCATTATAAGCGGATAGTTCAATTGCAACAACATCCATGGAAAAAGCTAATTTACTAGCTGAAAAATTTTCGTCTCACTCCACAGTCGATTTTATGGGAAAGGCACCACCCACAAGGCGTTTGATCCTGATGAAGTGCCCGTCATCGTACTCAAAAAGTGCGCAAATGAACTCGCACCAGTATTTTGCAGACTTTTCAACATGTCTTACGAGAAAGAAGTTTTTTCTTCTTGTTGGAAGATTGCTCGCATTCAGCCTATCCCCAAAAAGGGCAAGAAAAATCTTCCAAATAACTGCAGACCAGCCGCTTTGCTATCAGTGACATCGAAAATCATGAAGAAGGCCGTAAACCACCATATCCTCAAATATTTGGAAGGCTTCATCAATATGGCGATCATCAATATGGCTTTCGAAAACAAAGATCAACAGGAGACCTTCTATTGTATGTCACCCATATTTGGAATAACGCAATCGAAAAATATGGAGAGTCAAGCTGTTCCGCTTGATATTTCTAAGGCCTTTGACCGTGCGTGGCATGAAGGTTTACTCGCCAAACTTCGATGCTATGGCTTGTCGGATCATTTTTGTGTGTAGCTCTTCAGCTTCCGGAATAAATGTTCCCTGCAAGTGATGTTCCCATCAATGGTTCAATTCAATGCCACAAAAACCCAAGTATCGGTTTCCTCAAAAACGATAAATGTCTCCGGATCGGATATAATAATGTCGGGTGAACCAATTCCTCTTTCTGCTTCTGTGTGTTGAGGAATAAAATGGAAACCGATATGTCTTGGCACAATCATGTCGCTGAAATTGCGAAGGCTGTTGCACTGTCCCGAAACAGAAAACTGTACACACCTCAGCAACTTTTGATGTTTCATAAAGCTCAGATCTGACCTTCTTTGGAGTATTGTTCTCATATATGGAGCTCCGCCCCTACGCATATCCTGAAGCTGTTGGATTCCATCTAGAAAAGAGCCATAGCCTGATTGGAGACACAAACATATATACTTTCACGGAAGTGCTCAAGTGACTTGGCACCAAGAGCAGTACATATCAGAAATACGCGACTACAAAATACGTGGCTGCTCATCGTTTCGAGGTTCAACTCAGTACACTGTTTAAGAACTCTTTCATTCAGAGAACTACGTTTATGTGGAATAAAATTCCTGAGAACGTTTTTCCAAATGGATTTGTCCTTAAATAATATATTTATCTATGTCACATTGCGATAGTACCTGATAAAAAATTTATGGATGTAGCCGTTACTACGTGGTGGGAAATCATAATGAAGAAAAGATACATGAAACTTTCTATGTTTTTACCACTTTTATTTGTAACTATCGTTACTGCAGTTTCGTCCTATACGGACATTTTCAAACTTATATAATACCTGATACCTTTCAATTTGTTAAAAAATCTCACTAAAGTAACGAGATATGTATTACCACATTTGATACGAATTTCTACACACGAGAAAATTTAAAAAATCCCTCTTTCACAAACTACCATAAGTAGCTCGTTCAATTTCGTGGATGTCGTCTTGGTAGGTTGTAGTTATCAACTGAATCATCAAATCAGCATGACATGGCGTACCGAGTTCGATACAAATTTTTATGCATGAAAAAATAAAAAATTTGTATTTCTAGTGTCGTCTTGATAGGTTGCAGATACAAAATCATCAAATGAAGGCGACGTGGAGTACCGAGTTCGAAACAAATTTTTATATTTGAGAAAATGAAAAATTCGTATTTGAAAATCTGTTTAAAATATGTTTTTTCATTAAACAGCTGCCGCACTCCTACGAACGACACCCTCAGAAATCGAAACTTGTACGAGCTAAGGTTTAACGAGGTCTTACCTTTTAACGTTTGATTACCAACACGGATTGGACGATAGGAAGTGAAAATCGATCGTATGTATTTATAGTAAACATCATCGACTGCCTTTTGGTCAGAGGATAAATAGAGTAATTGAACCTCGAGAACTTATTCATGCTGATGTTTGTGAAACAATGACTATTGAATTGATTGGTTGAGTACGATTTTTCGTCGTTTTCAAGGATGATTTCAGTAAATTTCGGTATGTTCATTTCCTCAAAGAGAAGTCTGAAGTAAAAGACAAACTGGACAAATTTCTGTGTAATCAATAACTGATTGTGGTAAATAAGATAGATAAAGGATATAAAGAAGATAATTACAAAGTATGGTTTACATCATCGAATCACCATGCCTTACACACCTGAACAGAATGGGGTGCAGAACGAGAAAATTGAACTCTTGTTGATGCTGCATAGACCATGCGAAAAATCTTCGTGAATATCTTTTGGCAGAAGCGGTTAATACTGTTGTATAAGTTTTGAACAGAACCGGTCCAACATTGATGGAAGGTATGACACCTATGATGATTTGGACAGAAAAACAAGCTCCTGTGGATCATTTGAAAATTTTCGGAACAGAAAGTTTTGTCCATGTTCCAAAACAAAAACGTTCCAAATGGAAAAGGACGAGTGAGAAAGGTTATCCAGTTGTTACTTTTAAAATGAAATAATTGTCGAAGAAAGCACTATCATAT